CTTATATGTGCATAGTTTATATAAAATATACACATATGCGTATTTTTATATACACATATATACATATGGATTAGATATGTACTACATCAAAAGTGTTATATATATTATATATAATAAATAAAAGGTGACCAAAAAGTCATGATGGCATAACAGTGTCTAATAAGTTTTAAAGAAATCATGATTTTTTTAGAAAATAGGGTAGTTATCACAATGTTTTGGTCACACTGTATTTATAATATTTCACTTTTGATACAGTGTATCCCTAACCCTGTCCTTACCTCACAGCTCCACCTCCTTGCCCCTCTACTCACAGACATCATAAACCTTTCCCTGTCCTCTGGTTCTGTTCCCACCCCATTAAAAACTGCCGTCATCACTCCTATTCTTAAAAAACCCTTCTAGACCCTATTCTACTCCCAAACTACTGCCCCATCTCCAACCTCCCTTTCCTCTCCCAAGATCCTGGAACAAATTGTTGCTTCTCTGCTTTGCTCCTTCCTCTCCCGCCACTCCCTTCTCGAAACCCTCCAGTCGGGTTTCCACAGCACAGAAACCGCCCTGGTCAAAGTGTCAAAGGACACTGTCCAGCTGCGGCCAGGGCTCCCTCTGCCTCCTCGTCCTCTGACCTCTCCTGCTTTCGACACCGTCAACCGCTCTATCCTCATCCACTGCCTCTCCTCCAACCTCAACTTTCACGGCTTTGTCCTTGACTGGTTCAGATCATACCTCTCACACCGCCTCCACTTCATCTCCACAAATGGCTTCTCTTCTAGCCCCCGCACCATCGTGTGCGGTGTTCCTCAGGGCTCTGTCCTTGGTTCCCTCCTCTTCAACATCTATATGCTCCCTCTTGGTGACATCATCTGCAGACATGGGGTCAACTTCCACATATATGCAGATGACACCCAACTCTACCTCTCTGCCTCCACCCTTGACTCCAGGACCATTGCTGTCCTAACAGAATGGCTGTCAGATATCAAGTCCTGGATGACAGCTAACTTTCTTCAGTTGAACGTCAACAAGACCGAGGCAATCCTAATTGGCTCCAGTCAGCGCCTCCTCACCTCAGGCGCTGACAGCATCACCATCCATGGTTGCACACTCCACCTTGCTAAGCCAGTCTGGAACCTTGGGGTCTTGTTTGACCCTAATCTATCCTTTCTACCCCACATCTGCGACAAGACCGTTCTGCCTTCCCCCACCTCTGCAACATCGCCCGGTTCCGCCACTGTTTCATACCACAGGCTACCGAAACCCTCATACGTGCCTTCATTACATCGAGGCTCGACTATGCAAACTCATTGCTTGTCGTCCTCCCCAACTACTCCATCCACAGGCTGCAGATCATCCAGAACCCTCTCCTGCACTAGGCTCCGTGACCCTATCACCCCCATGATTCCCACTGGCTTCCCATCACACAGAGGATTCAGTTCAAGATCCTGGTCCTCACCTTCAAAGCCCTCCATGGTCTTGCTCCCCTACCTTTGTGACCTCTAACCCCCTACCATCTTGTTCACTCGCTCCGCTTAGTGGGCTCCATCCTGCTTCACATCCCCGCCTCGCTCTCCCCACTATTGAAGGGCGGGCCTTCTGCCACTCTGCCCTCACCCTCTGTAACTCCATCGTGCAGTCCCTCCAGCTCACCCCCTCCATTGCCTCCTTCAAGACCCATCTCAAGACCACTTTAACCGTGCTTTCAATCTCGCTGGTTCCCCCTGCCCTCCACCCTCCCCGCCCCTGACCCCCAGCTGGGGTCCGAAACTCTGTCTGTCCAGCGTCTTGGGACGTCCTCCTGAGGTGAAAGATGCTATATCAATGTAATTTTGTTGTTCTTATTGATATTGCCTAAAACACTTGTAAATTTAACAGAAATGTGAGTGTTCTATCCCCAAATAATGTTGGCGCAAATCTAAACAAATTACTTAAACTTTACTGATCCCATATCTGCTCTCCAAGCTATGTACTAAATATGTTTTATGAAACTTTGGTAAAGCATGAAACGATCTCCTTAAACTCTTAATGCTTTAAAAAAAGTATTTGTCATCAATCTGGTAATGTAGCTACTTTACGAGTTTTATTTTAGCAGTAACATTTTATATATGCACTCCCAGTTTCCAATATTTTTGCCGTTTCAGCTACACAAATGACCCTTGAGTGGTTAGGTAAGGTTGTGGTTGTGGTGGTGGTAATAGTACTGGAAGAACATATTGAGGCCAGGTCACTCATCTTGCAAGTAGCTCGAGGGGGATGGGTTGGTGAAAGTTGGTTATTGGATATGGCTCATATGCAGTTCTGCGCTGGTCAGATCTCAGGGATATTTGTTAATGGAGCCAGTAGCACAGATACTGATGCTGTCTGGCTGGATACACACTTTGATCAGCCTATTGGAAACTGCCCGGAACGTTTCCTTTTTGACCTTTTGGTGATTCAGTTATCCAACCTTACTCTGAACAATTACAAAGAAGAAACATGTCAAGCCAATATGCCCAGTAAGCCTACTTTTCTACGTGCCTTTTTTGTTAATTTTTATTTCTGCATACTGTTTAATGATATCTATTTGGAAACATTTTTAAAGCCTTTTTACGTTTTGGAATATTACTTAAGTTTATTGTGCGCATCTTCACAGAAAATGTTTATTTCCTAGCAATTTTGCACAAAACATTTTTATTTTATGATGAACATGCTATTATATCAAAGTCAATATAGAAACCCTGAAAGTTTTTAAGATTCAGTTAATCTTTGATTTAAGGGAATGTAGATTCTTTTTTAAAAAACGTATCATCAACAAATGCACTCCTTTTTAAAATAGGTTTGCAATATATTAAAAATATTAAATCTATGAATAATAAAAACTAATACCTAATACTTCAAATCAGTTATGAGGCTTTCCTCCTTTGTGGAATAAGTTACTTACTTCATTGTTCCCTCCGGTTTCTCATCTGTTTAAACTTAATTGCAGATTGACCTTGCTGGATTTAATATTAATTGAGGGAAGACATTTTATTGCCTGTTTCTCTCACAATTATAATATTGTTCTAAAATGCAATAGTGAAATAGTGACACTGTTGATAAATAAATTTATTTTGGATTATTTTTTGACAATATTGCAAGTACTCCAACCTTTTCAAGAAATAGTTGAACAGTCTCACTTTTCTTTGGGTAGTGAACCTTAAATAAATTTGTTTTGACCTTATAAAATAGTTTCGGAAAACTTCAGTATGAAAACTGCCCAATTTTAAAAATTTGATTTGCAGTTCATTTTGAGTACCTGTCATGTATGATGCAGTTAAAATATAACATTTAAAATCTGTATAATACTGCAGTGTTAGGAGCAGTAACTGCTGTTAAAATGTTTTGAATGGCACCAATACCATAGTCTCTGTGTTGGTGATCCAAGCCCAAAGAAAATGGAATTATAGCCATGAGAATAGCAAAGGGAAGACTGCAACCAGCTGATCAGCCAAGATCTTACAAAGAGACCTCAACCTGAAATGCACCAATATTGATTGCTGACATAGGATAGTTAACACAGATAATTGAACGGTATACAAAAAAATTGTGAGTAAAATGGAAAGTATATGTACTTCATTGGATGGACTTGCCAAAGAGGATGTTGAAAGGTTTGAGTATTTCAACCTTGTTCCCAGTCTTTATGAGTTCACAGTACAGACATAATGATATCCCCCGCCTGCCCCCCCCCCATGTAGCGTAGCGTGGGGGCAGTTATATAAATGCAAATAAAGGAAGTTGTTGCTTGTCACTAAATAAACAATTTCATTCATGGAGGCCACAGTTGTAGTTCATGTAGAAAATGGAAATGACACATAGTGTTTCAGTAGGTGTTACTCTGAGAATTCAATCCAGCAAGGCCAAAAAAGGAGCTACAATGAGCCTCTGTGAAGGCTTCCTGGTTAGCAAATTACATGTGTGTTATTTGGGAACTAAGGAAAGATATGGAGAAAATGATTGTCGAAGTAACTTGCTAAAATATGAAACGTGGCTTTGTTGCAAGAGAAAATTTGTACACTACTCAGCTTTGTCACCCAGCTGTTTGATGTAGGCACAAGCAAGATATTTAATTTCAACTTACTTTTGTGGTACTAAACCACAGTTTTTCTGTATTTAAAAAATCATTTTCAATTAATTAAGTCAATTTGCATTATTAATGTGGAGGAATACATGCAAAGGGATTGACATTTGTGGCTGGCATTTGCATGTGAGTGGTAAGACCAGCTTTAGTGTGTGTTTCTTTCATGATATTTTGTACACAGAGTCTGTTAGAGATTTATAGAAAAGATTTTTGATGATTCAGATACTAAATACTCTGTAGCAATACCAATGGAGGTTAAAGAGATACATTTCATGTTTTCAGTTGCAGTAAATGAGAAGTTAAATAATACTTTATTAAATAATAACTTATTCAGCTTCCATGAAACGGGTCTGAGGCTAATTCCATACATTCTGCAGCGGTTCAGCATTTTATTTATCTGTGTAAATTGGTATCCACAGTGTCTTGATGGCTTAGGCTAGAAGTCATTAATGCACAAATGTACACATAATGAAACCTGATGTGCAATTGGTTTTGCAGATGGAGTACATTTGCAGATGGAGTCCTGTAGCTCAGTGGTTAGAGCACTCGCTTTGCAAGCGAGAGACCCAAGTTCAATTCCAGGCAGAGGGCGAAACCTTGGGCAGGTTTCCTTACTCCACACAGAGCCTGATAATAATCCCTCCAAAAACCAAAAACAATAATAAATTGGTCATTTTCAATCTACGATTGTTTGTGGGACATTGCTGTGTGCAATTGGCTGCTGCTTTCGCCCACAAATATACAGTCAATTCACTTTACAGTATATTCTGTGAAGCGCTTTGGGACGTCCTCCCGACGTGAAAAGCGCTATATCAAATGCAAGGATTATTATTATTACATTTAAAATTGTTACATCTCCCTGTAAAAGTAAACCATGCCTCTCATTATGAAACTCTTTATTTTTTTCAAGGACAACTACACTTTTGCACAGCCAGGGATTCAACGGAAAGTGAAAGCATTACAGGAGCTTGTTAGCCGGATTGATGGTAAGTACAATAACCCATTTCTAACTTTAAGGTGAGCAGAATAACACTTGTATTGAAAGTGTTGAGTAAAAGTTTTGCAAATCTGATGGCTGGTATCAGTTTGATCATCTACAATGAGAACATGTATTGTGTCATCTTCAATCAGCTGGTAGCATTGTGCACTTTGCAAGATTAGTGATGTGATTCATTTAAAGGGAGTCAAAAGCCCATGAACATCTTATTAAAGCAATATAATCAAAATTCCAAAATATAATCAAAAATGGCAATTTGTTTTCAAACAAGTAATGGCTGCATAAGAAAACCATCCAGCATTCAGTTTGCAATGATTGTTTGCATTTGCAGGAAGTCACATTGACTTTTTATGAATATCCTTTGGCTTTCTGCAGTGTGAATCATAGTCCTATCATGACTGTTAACATTATCTGTGTGGTGAATTTAATTAATTAGGAACTTTGAAAATACTATTCGTATTTCAGCTAAATAACAATGACGTACAGTAATTTTAGATTAGTGTTGCAGACTCTGGCAGGGAGATGTAAAGATTTATCTCCTTGTCCTTAAAAAAAATCTTTGGTATAAAATGCTGATTGTCATGGTACTGTGAGCAGCTTTAATTATTTGGATTGCTTTAGATAATACAAACCATTCAAATATATTCTCCAGATATTTATTGAAATAATTGAATGGAACTGTTTAGCACAAAATTGTCTACCAAAATAACTGAGCATAAGCCAGAAGTATAAATGTTTCTCGGGAATAAAATAAAGTACATTTTGAAAATGGTTGCTTTTTTGATAGCGACTGTTTTAAGCCCAATTCTTCCTCTCACCTCTCTGATATAGAGTGGCTTTGCTTATAGGGCTGCTGTTCCTGAGGACATGGACAATAACAATCTTTTTTTAAAAAAAGGCCGACTTTTGCATTGTTAGTTTGTACTCTGATATGGTTTCCTGTACTCATGCAGCTGATGAGCTGGGCTAATATAAAAGTATTTATCCCAAAACCTTGAGCCCTTTGCAAATTTTGAGGAGGAATTTTAGTTTGGGCGAAAATGTGGAGAATTGATTCATTGGTGCTATTGAGATGCATTTTGTTGCTAACCTACATTTTTTTCTCTTCTCATTTTTGAAAACTAAACATAAAGAAATAACACATCATAGACTATTGGAAAAAAACATTTATTTATGTTTTCTTTCACAAAAACAGAACATAACACCTTTCAAAAGATGCAAAAGCAGTTTCAACACATTTTGTTGAATTTTTCAAAATCAAATTTTCATAGAAACAAAAAATCCTCAGCCAAAGATTTAGTGCTGGTTAACTTTTAACACGAGAAGAATCTTTATATTTTCTTCTGTTAGGCTATGTATTATTTTTAAGGTGGTCTGAATAAACAGAAAATAACCTTTAAACGTCAGCTGTGCTCACTGGTAGACAGATGTACATTTTTGCATTTTTAGCAAGTTTCATGTGTGGCTCAAGCTGAGCTCCCCACCATGCTGCAATTGTTTGGCTAGTTGGAATATTTTCTCCAGCTGCTTTATAAGCATGCCATTTGAAGTTTGGAATAGTTGAAAGGGCAGGAATCACATTACTATATAAGTCTTCTTCTGTATCCATTGTTGCTGGCTGGTGAGGATCAAAAATACGAACTGCTTTATAGGTAGCAATTGATAGATGCTTTTTCAAAATTAGTCCCACCTTTTCACTACATGATTCTCTGGAAAAGGTTGACACGTGCCTCTCTCCCACTCTCAGAACAGGATGACAACTTTTCCACTGTCTTTTGTCTGTACTCCGTGCTCCAGCAGTGGCACAGAAATCAATAAACAAATATAAATTTTGCACCCCTCAGTACAAATTATGGCCCTGAGGCACAGCTGTTGCCTGATATTTTTCAATGAGTTTTATGAACTCAGATGAGTGCTCTGTGACAGTTTGCTTGGGCTTTCAACTCTGCAGTATTATTGTTTAAGAACATTTTCAGTTTTTTCACTCTAATACATTTCCTTGAAGAGATTCTGCCAAGATAGGCAAGCACTCATACAAATATTCAACAGCCTTCACCCAGGATCACCAACGCAACTGAACAGCAAAGACTGGCATCTGTGGTTTAATTCCATCCTTCGGCTCCATAAGTTCCAAGTACTGATACCGGACCATTGGACTTTGGCAGAAGACTTTCTTGACCACAGCAACCAATGTGTTTAAGTCCTCCAGTGTAACAGGCCAAATTTCCAAAATCAAGTTCAGAAGATGTAATGCATGTAATATATCGTTAGGAAACAATCCCGACAGAATTGTGTTAAATGCTTTGATCGTGTAGTTTGCACTGTCTGTGGCAACTGCAAGCACGTTATCAAAGTTAACCATTTTTAAATTTAAGACTCTTAGAAGAGCTTGTGACACAGTTGTGTGGTTGACTCACTGCAAGAATTCTACTCCAATAAGAAAAGGCTTCTCCCCGTCTTTCTGCAGTGGCTGGGCCAGCACTGCCAGACCACTGCACCTGCTAGAATCAGTACACATCTCTGTCATCAACATATTTCTTCAAAAATGCTTCATCCTCAGGAATAAACTCCTTCAAGTATGTACTACAAATCTGTGACGGTGTTGGAATAGTCCCTCCGTTTTTCATGTACTTGCATAGAAAGTCTTGGAAGGCAGGAGCTTTTTCAAGCAGTAGTCAAACACCGCACAAAGTCCAATATGAGTTCTTTCCTCTCCATAGATGATGCAGTGGCTCTAGAGAAGCAGATTGTCAGAGCAATTTGTCTTTGAGATCCACCTTGGAAGGACAAAATAAAAATTGATCTTCATGATGTCGTTAGAAATATTCTGTTTTTGTTTTTGTTTGCTGTGGTGTTATGTGCTTTTAAAATTCAAAAAGTAAGGAGATTAACTTTTGTAATACAAGTTAAGATTTTCTTTCAAAATTAAAGTGAAGGCAACTAATGATACATTTTCATTTAATATATATATCAAAAGTATTTTACTTCAATTTTTTGTCTTTATTTCTGCTGCCTTGCGTTCACGATGTTTCTGAGATTTCATGTGCTCATCAAAAGTGTACTTGCAAACATGGTCAATGTGTGACAGCAAACGCGGCAAAACAACTGCCCCCCTTCATAAAGGTTATTTGGATACAGTACGATTATATTTGAGGGACAGACGGAAAATGAGATGTGCTGCCCCTTGACTTCCTCACGGGATTTACAAAAACATTTGGACAACCTAAAAAGTGAAACAACCCTGATTAAAGCTATTGGCATGTATTTCCTGAAAATGTAGTTATGTTTAGAATACAAAATATTTTAATTTGAGCAGTACAGCACTTACTGAGAATTCATTGCAGTAGTGTGACACAGCTGCTTTTCCTATAGAGGTTTACTCACCAGCACACAAGTCGATTTCCCACACGCATCGCTTCCGCGATTCTAAAATTTGCTGCTCATGCGTGATCGGAGCTGCCCTGGCCATAGAAGTGACAGCGAGAAAACAGCGCGAGAGGCCTGGGGAAAATGTGTACCCGTGCTTTTCTATTGGCCCAGGCAATGAGCAGGAAGTGTCAATAAAATCACTTTCTGTGTGCTTCCTGATGTCAAAAGTAACCTGATGATCCACAAGTCAGTATTTTTCGTGATTCACCGAAAAGATGCTCGTCCCTCTTGAACCAAGAGGTCTGCTTTATATTAGGACTGTCTGCTTCCTGTTACAACAAGATTCCATTTATAGAGCGCCTCTCACGTTGGGAGAACGTCCCAAGGCGCTGGACAGTTGGGTCAGGACCCTGTTATTTAGTTGTCCACACAGTCCATGTATTTGTTTCGTATCAGTGTCATTCTGTTTTAAAAACAACGGTAATTTAAATCCTTCTTATGGCTTAAGTTTTGCAACTACTGTATGTAAATTGTTTAAATTAGAAGTTATTTTAAAATATTAGATATTGTTGTAAGGAATGTCATCATCAAATTATTAGATGAGTATTCCAAACTCCTTTTATACTACTGGAGTAATGCAACATAGTTTCCAATATGAGAGCAATTTGCAGCCAAATATAGGATTTGTACATTCATCCAAACGGCTCTAGGCTGTGATTTAATGTACCTCTTTGCATGCAATTAGTCAGATGTGCACAGCTTGAGTTTTTAAAGGCTTTTCTTTAAACTTTTAAAAGTTTTTTTTGGTATCTCCTGCAATAAAATCTGATTTATACTGCACTCTAAATGTTTTCAGGACCATGGTTCAAAATTGAAGCCTGACTCTAAATAACATACCGAATCAACTTAAAAGGGGCATTATATTTAGCAGTGTGTCACAATAGGTGAATAATTTCCAGCTAAATCTACTGAAAATGGGCCACTTCTGTTGAACTGTCACATTATGTTCTTTATTGAAGCAGCTGAATGTACATAAGTCATTTGACACAAGCATACAGTGTGTCCTTGTGCTGACCTGTCATAACAGTTAATGAATAAATTAGCTGTTCTAGTTGTTTTCTAATTGAGTAAAGGCTTTTTCCAAAACACATGATTCATTACACTCATCTGCTAGAAAGTTCTCAATGTGTGATGCATGTTAACTCCTACTAGAGCAGTTTAAAGGAGCAGTCCACCTTAGCTCTGCTTACACTCATAGAAAATAAATATTGCATGATATTAGCTAACCAATCCAGCTCTCCGATAAACTCTGAAACAGAATGGCTTGAGTCATGTTTGAGTTTTTTTTAAAAAGTTTGAAAAATACATTCCTTCCTCATGAATAATTTATTCATCTGTCACTTTGTGAGCCTTTGGTCCCTTGATGGTGAGTGATGTCAATCCTAGCAGCATCAGGAGAGCATTAGGTGTGACGATAACATTCAAAGTGTACTCAAACGCAAAATCTAGTGATGTAGCATGAGGTTTTTTCTCTACCCTCTCCTCAAAGCCCCGCTCCCAGAAGTGAAGAAACTTGTGCCACTATTATGTCAGCTGCTGATGAATATTAAAATGCCAGCT